AAAGGGGTGCATCCTGTTTGCATAGATTGACAGATGCCCTCCTGCTGAAAATGCTTTCCATTTCATTGCCATTCCCTTGCTATAAAAATGCCCTGGCTTCCCAGGGCCTACACAGGAAAGGTCAAAGGTGACAAATGAAGCTCTTCAGCTTGAGGCTTTATCCTTGGGCACCAGGCCGTGCACTGTGAAGTCAGAAGTGTCTTTGTGATTGTGTCAGCATCACCGGGTGCCACGGTGGGAGGACAGAGAGGATAACCCAGGCTGATGCCTGGGCCCCCTGGAGCCTCTGCAGCGGCTGCAGTGCTGGTGGTGACAGCTCTGGGTTCTCCACACCCCTCCATCTCAGCCCACACACACAGCGGAGGATTGGACCGTGTAGAAGCCAGTGACTGCAGATGCTCACTTGGCGATTGCTAACAGGCACAGAGAGGCAGCAAGCCAAGGTGAGCCCCTGGCTTCCAAGCAGACAACATGGGAAGCACAACGCAGGAAATAAAACTGGCTGGTTTTCAGGCCTGTGAGATGGTGGGCACTCAGTCCCCTGGCTTGTAGCATTTTATCTCGAACCTGATCTGTACTTGCAATATAAAAGCGAGGTTATCCAGAAAGTAAATCAAGGACAATTGTAAAAAAGTTATGAGACTCTGGCAGTTGCGGTTAACTTTTGTCCTTCTTGTTTTGCCCATGCCTTAAAACCCTGTTGAAAAAGAAACATCCCAACTTCTGAAAGGAGCGCTCCACTCAAACAAGCTGCAAACGAGTGGGGGATATATCATAACAAGATCAGGAACAACAGCACAGGCAAGAAGGAAAAGTAGCCTTCTCTGGAACTGGAGAAAAACCAGACCCCTCAAAGACACAGAGAGCAACACTGCCACCAACTGGTGACGCTCACTCAAGTCACTCTGGGAGATCCACCAGTTTTAAGGTGGCAGCAACTGGAATTCCTAACAGGTACACAAAGACAAAAGGCATTCATGTCCAGGCTCCAGATGCACACCAGAGGACATGTAAAGGACACCTGATCAAGTGACACAAGACATGTTAAGTGTGGTACAGAGCCCTGAACCAGGCCAACTTCAGCCCTAGTTTTTTTCGTTTTTTGTTGTTGTTGTTGTTTTAAATTGGGATAGGTATTTAACATAGTCCTTAAGGCACTGGAGTGCCTGTGTTGAGTCTCCTCAACTTTCTGTAATTACGCATCCTGGGAGGCAGTGGTTCTTGACTTAAGTAGTTGCATTTCCACTACCCATAGGGTGGGACCTACAGGGAGTTCTCAGCTTCTGGCTCCAGCTGCTGTGGGAATTTGAGGAAGGAAATCAGTGGATGGATGGAAAAGCTCTCAAAGGGAAGATCGGTACACAGGCGATTTTGGTTCACAGGCCAGACTCAGAGGCTGCTAGGAGGCTGCGCTCACTGGACCCACCCTCATTGGGGGTAAGCTCCCCCATCGCTGTGTTCCAGGGGCACAGCAACCTTAGCAGTTGAGGCCAGCAGCACAAGCCCACAGAAATCTTGGCCACACCTTCAAGCGGGTGGCACAAGACCTCCCAGCCATTTCCTATCTGGTTAAGAGACAAACAATGGGAAACCTTTTACCCGTAGGCTCCCACCATCAGGGAGGGGGCAGGGAATACTTAAAACCCCAAGACCCTTCCTCAAACCTCTGCTGTCTCTCCCTCTCTCCTTCCAAGAGGCCCCACCTCCGAGGTGCTTTCCCCTTTCCCTCTTCTTTCCCCACTCACCTGGTCCCTTTGCAAATAAAACTTCTCTGTCTGAAACCGATTCCCAGTTTGTTATTTTTATGGTAAGCTGAGGAAAGCACCCTCCAACCTTTTCTGGACAGCACAGGGAAATCACTCTCCAGCACGTTTCTGCGTTTCCACCACAGAGCCCAACAGTCACCATCCAGACTTGGCACACGTGCTTCAGTTTCGCCGTTACTGCTTGCCCCAGATTTGTACCTGGTATCCAGTCTGCTAGATTTCACACCACTCTAAATGAGGCATCTTGACAGCTCTCCCACCACACGGAGACGTTTGAGCCTCACTGCATGATGTGCTTGTACAACAGGGTTTCAAATTATTCTTATCTACTTGTTCTAGTTTAAAAAAAAAATGAGACATGTAAAGTCGGACAGTGTCTGTTGCTGGTGCCATGCACAGTATAATCTGAAACACTCTTATGAAAAGCATGAGATGAAAGTGGTTCCCTGGCTCACAGGGGTAAAAATAAAAGGATTTCCCTCCAGCCCACATTCCAAAGTTAGAAGGTTTCTTTAAAACAAAGACTGCTCTTCCGAGTGACACTTGGGGGGACAAGCCATGGGGTCCCCACTTCCTCCCAGGCAGGTTTCCAGTAACTGTGGCAGGCCTCAGGCTGGGGCCCACAGGAGGCACCACTTCCCTGGCCATACATGGCAGAGTCAGAGCCCATCACCAAATGACTCTTTACATCTGCTGCCCTGGGTTTTCACCACAACACTCTTTGTGCCACCCCATCTCTGCCTCTCCAGCTGGAGCAGCTCTGAAGATGCCAGTCTCTAAGATGCCAGTGTTGATGCCTTCATTTGTGACTGCAGATGCTCACGGACCCCCACCTATCCCCACTTTCACCCCAGTGTGCCTGTGGAAGTCCAAACCGCCTCCCAGAGAGAAAAGAGGCCTAGACCAAGGCTTGGGAGATAGGCAGTGACAGACCACTGCTGCCTCCTCTGAGACCTCAGTGCTCACAGGGGACCAGCCACCAGGGCGGTTGGGGAACCTGGGAGAAACACAGCAGCTCAGGACCCATGAGGACCTACAGGGTCTGGATCACCCCTTCACCAGATCTCTGTGGGACCCCAAGCCTGGGGAGGCCAGGAAACACTGCTCCCGGATCCTCCTGCTCCCACTCTGCTGCTCCCCTCTGCTGCTCCCACTCCCTCCCTCCTAGGCTGCTGCAGGGGCGGGCATCAGGGAGAAAGAAGCCTGGCCAAAGCTAAGCCAGGCATCCAAATGCTTGCTTTCCTGCCAGGGCTGGTGCCTGACCAGCAGCGGAACTCATGCCCAGCGTGACAGGGGCCTTCCTCCAGAAGGGGCCCCACCACAGGAAGCACAGCAGAGTCCACACCCTGTGGCTCACATGGGCATCTGTAGCTGCAGCCGGCCCTGGGTGCAGCTCTGAGAGCTCTGGGCTATGGGCTCATAAGTTCAGCTCCTGCCTGTGGCTATCACTGCTTAAGCTCCTCAAGCTTTCACATCTCCCTCTGCAAAACAAACATAAGGAAAATTCAGACTTTTGGAGCTGGTATTATGCTGTAACAGACAAAGTGGCCACCTGGGATGCTGGCTTCCTGTATGGGCATTGGTTTGTGTCCCAGATACTCCACATCCATTCCAGCTCCCGGTGAACAGTCTGGGAAAAGCGGCCAAAAAAGGCCTCAGTGTTTGGGTCCCTGCCATCCACATGGCAGACTGGAAAAAACAGAAAAAAAAAAAAAAAGAACCCTGTTTTTGGCTTGGGTCTGACTTGCCCACTGAGGCCATTTGGAGGTGAACCAGCAGATGGATGCTTACTTTCTCCCCTACATTCCAGCCAAGCAAATTTGACTTTCAAATAAATAAATACATCTTTAAAAAAAAAAAAGCCCAACTTTCCTAAAGTGGAGAGGAATTAAGAATTCATATAAAGCCTTTAGCAGACAACACGAAAGGCTATGTGTGATAATGATTACACACGTAGGTCCGAATGTGTCTATTGCCTCTTCTTTCACACACACACACACAGGATAGCTGGACCAGCATCCAGAAACCCCAGCAACGTCTCCTGACTGTACAGAGTAAATAAAGGGCACACACCACGGGAAGCAGGTGGCACACGGAGGGCGCTATCACCGGTGAGCAAACACCAGACCATGGGCTTGACTTTCTTTAGGAACCTGTGAGTTGCAGGAGACTGAAGATACAGCAAAGAAGTACGGAAACAGAGAGGCGAGCATTACAGAAGCAAAGTGTTGGCAGGACCAGGAAAGGAGGAATGCCTGAGGGGAGGACAATGTGAAACTGACAGGCTGGGCAAGGCGTCATGGAAAAAGAGCTAGTGAGTGATGATGTGGAGGAGGTAAGGGGTCAGCGATGGGGATTTGGGGGCTGGGGTCTGGGAAGAACATTTCAGGCAGTGGGAAGAGTTCATGCAAAGGCCCCGTACCCCACTGGGGTCTAAGGACCCCTTCCTGCAGAACGGAGTGAGACAGACCACAGTTCAGGCTGTCGGGGTCTGAAGAATTCAAGATGGCCCAAATTGATTAATACCTGAGCATTACATCCCATTGGGGGAAGCAGAGCTGCCAAGATTCTCCAATGCAAACCTGACAGAGGCCCAGTTTCAGTGGAAGAATCACGCCCCAAGGAACAAGGCTCAGGCAGGGTCAAGGGCACATGAGCTATCGACTTAAGACACGCTGAGGCTGTGGGGTACAACTGAAGAGGCTGCCCTCCACAACAGGTGCCTGTCCTCTGTGCACACCCAGCCTGCCTATTGCACTTGACTGAGATCTCACCCCTGACCCGTGAACCCTGGAACACAGGAAGGATGGTGCTCCATGGCGCCCCCAGTGGAGGGGCTGAGGCAAAGCAAGGCAGGGTGTGGACAAGGCCTGGGCACCCCAGGGCCCTCCCTTCCTGGGAGCTGCTTTCACTCTGGTAACACTGGCTTCACGGACTTTGAACAGCTGTGAAAGGTGGGATCGGTGAAGCCTGCTGCTTTACCTCCGTCTGGGGTGGAAGTGAGTGATGGTACCAAAGGGAGCCAGCGACAGCTTCTCAGGCTATTCAGCTGGGCTCTGTACACAGACGCCCGCACAACTGGAACATGAGAACTCTCCTCCTGCTTGCAGAGGACGCTCCCTTGAAGGAACTCTCTGTTGCTGCCCCAAGTCTGGCTTCAGAGCCTCCAATGTCAAAGCCCCAACCCACAGTCCTCCCACGAACAGTATGCCAGGAACCCTGGTTGTGGCTTACCTTCGTATCTGCTGGGTGAGTCGCCCGCTTTCTGTGGGGTAGCCACCCGAAGGAAGATCTGCTGCCGCCACGAGTGTCTGCGGGTCTTCACGGGGGTCCCACCAGAGTCCCCCACATGGTTAGCTTTGGGTTCCAAGTTCCTACAAGGACAAGGCAACTGGTTGATGACCACAGGGAGGGGAGGCACTAACGCGGTTCAGCCTGGCTATTTCTAAACAGAGTGCTAAGTCATGAATCATCCGTGTATAAACACACACAGCCCATCCTCTCGGAGGTTAAAGGCAGGCTGGCCCAGCACTGCCCGGATGGGGCCTCCACCTGTCAGGGGCGCAGAATGAAAGCAACAAGGTCGTATGCCAAGTCATCTCCTTGGAAAAATGCTGCAAAGCACCCAGGCCAGCCTTGACAGGCAGCGGCTGCTAGGTGTCCCTCTGGGAAAAATGAGGCCACCCTCTGCCCCAGTCGGAGCCTGGCCAGCATGTCCCCAGCACTGGTCTGGGACTCTAGGATCGCTGCAGAAAGTGACAAAGCTGCAGTTGGATTACGCAGATATGTGGAGTCAATAATCCCGCGGTCACTGGTTGCAGCATTTGTATTTTGAAAAACATTTGTATTTTCAAAACAACCACACATACAATCTATTCCTTAGTTTATTTCATGCTCGCTGTGTCCTTGGGAAAGGGCCTGGCAACTCCACCTGAAGTGGTACCCACAAGGAAACAAGCCCTCCATATCCCCTAGCCGCACATCACAAGTCCGCTCGCCACCCTGAACCCCTGCTCGCACCTGGAGAGCTGGCTAAGGTTTTAACTCACTGATGACTACCCACACTCAGCCCCACTGGAGAACAGGTTATTGCACAAGCTTCTAAACGATAGTGAACACAAGAAAGGAGATAACCACTGATTTAGCTGAAATGATTTCTGACATGACCGAAGAACAGTTACAGAAAACAAACGGCACCATATACCCCCAAAGAGTCAACACTCAGCACACTGCCAGGTTGGAGGATCTAAATGGAGCCCTACCTTTTGGTGCTCACAAAGTCAGAGGTGTGATTTTCATCTACGGGAGCCAGAAATTTTAGAAAATTTGGCACAGAGGAGGAAGAATGAAGCTTTTTCCGCAGGGCATTACGGTAGGAGATGCTGAGAGAGTTTGGTTGAAAAGAGTGTTTAGGATAAAAGGAACAACATGAACACACACACAAATCATGTCAGTTTTAAAACAAGAGAAACATGTCCATTGTGATATCAAAAATGGCAAAGCAGATACGAAGAGTTCACCCATGAGATATTAAGTCGATAAAATTTACTCTTAAATGTACAGGATCTGTAATTTAATTAAAAATCAGTCCTTCTTCCAAACGGCTTGCTTTGAAAGAGGGCGGAATCATTGCTCTGGGGCTGTGTGTGCATGTGTGTGGGCACACTGGGGCAGGTGCATGTGAACACAAGCATAAGCCACCAGACCATCACCCAGGCCTGCTCCTGCTCATGCTGAAAAAATTAAACTGCTGGCAAAATTAGGTCAAACAACAGGCTGAAAAAAACTACAGGAAAAAAAAAAAAGAGGCAAAGACACAAGCACAAAGACACACGTGCAAGCAGTGGCCAGGCTTCAGTGGGATGTGCCCCGTGCCATCCCAGGGGTTGCCAGGGGAAAGACCAGCAACATGGAACATGGCCATGCGAGTGCGCTCACCTCTTGGGCACGGCATTCCCACTTGGCTCTCCACTGGAAGTATGTTTTACACACTTAAAAAAGTTGGGTGAGGAGGTGGAAGGGTTAAGACGAGGTGGAGGAGCCAGGCGCTGGCCTGGGCCAGACCCAGCCTCTCCAGCAGGTACATGGTCCCCACTGAAGAGCAATTAGAGAAAGTTAGAGAGCCCCAGAAGGAAGGGCGGAGGGGTGCAGGCAGGAGGCGGAAGTCCAGAGGCCCAATCCCCACCCTTCCCACACCCCTCACTGTAGTACCCCGGTACCCACGTCCTTGTGGGGGCAGTTCCCGCACCTGTTCCCGGCTAGCCTGCACTCCCCATACTATTTAGGGAGGGTTTTTTTTTTTTTCTTTTATTGGTGGGGGCAGGGAGGGGGAAGGGTTGGGGGAGGAACTGACAGAAAAAAATTTTAAACACGCAAAAGAAAAAGAATTCGACGTTTTCCCATTGAAACAAATAATATCCTGGCCTGCATTTCACTGTGCTTCCTGTAGATAAATGGGAAGAGTCACAAGAGGGCCTAGGGCCGAAACGGTGCACTCCCAGGAACACATAATTCCCCACACACTCTGGGAGCAGAGGGGAGAGGTCTGGAACCAAGGCCACCTGGTGCTCGCGTGAGCCACAGGGCCACGAGTCTCCGTGCTTCTGCAGCATCACCACCAGGAAGGTAGCGGTGCTGTGCAGACAGGGGCTTTGGAAACTTGCAGAAATTCACACAGCTCCAGTGGCTGCACTGTATGTGGCCCCAGAGTGCCCTACCTATTAAATAGTTCTGTGGCTGCATCCTGCTTACTGACCACAGTTAGTTGGCTTCCAAAGCCCCAACACCACTTGCAATGGCAAAGAGCAGGTTGCCCATCATTCCAGGACTGCGAACAAGGCAGCACACACCTGCACCTTGCCCATGTGCACTGCACCTGTCCTGTGTCCTTGTGGGCACTTGCTGCTGACCTCAGAGAGGATAGCATGGGAGAGGTCAGAGCCTATTGCTCATGGCTAAGGCCTGGGTACAGAGACACATTTAAAATTAATTTTAAAGACAGCCCTGGGCTAACTGACAGGCTTGGGCACTGGGGATTCAGTTTCTCCCTAGAAGGAATGGGGCTGAGTTCTAGCACCACCTTGCTTCCCCTTCTTTCTATAACCAGAAAAGTCCAAGTGTTCACTGGAGCCTCATCATGCAAATTAGCATATCCCTAAGAGTCTAGAATTCTGATGGGGGCAAAACGTTTTAGGATACCTTTACTCCAGTGTTTTCAGAGTTGTTCAGGGACTGCACCCAAGTCACAGACAGCTCACAACAAAACTAGGGCCTGACTTCCGGCCCACAGGGCCCATCAATGGCATTTACACTGTCCTGCGAGGTTCCACATACCTGTCCCTCTCTGTCCCTGCGCCTCCATCCCACTGCAGCCCTGCCTACATCTCCAGTGAAGACGCGTTTGCCCTGCCTCCCCACCCCCGTCCCTGCCATCAGCAACTGGTTTCCAAAGCTGGCTACATACCTGTGCTGTTTGAGCACTCGTCTTCCATGCTAAGGACCACTTCTGTTCCCTGTTCCTGCAGCCTGATGACACAGACTGCTCCAAGCAGCCAGGTGCCCCTCCAAGGGGCCAGATGCCCCCTACCCCTATGTGTTTCCTAAGAAAACTCTTTTCCGGCCAACACCTCTGACTTGGGCTTCCCTTCCACATTGGACGTGGCCAGGACACACATACCTGCTTAGCCATAGGTATAGCCCCACAATTTACACCCAAGTCACGTTCTGAGTAAGTCTTACCTGCGTTCCTGAGGTGTCTCGGTGCCCAGTGAGTGGTACCTCATCAGTTTCCTCTGCGAGACCCCTGGCGAGCCCTGGGTGGGTCCCAGGGACTCCTGGCCCTCTACGGGAAAGTGACTAAGGGTGTTTGCCCGCCTCCTGAAGGCCTGCTGGGGAGAGAGCGGCACCGGCTCTTCGGTGGGGTGGCTCTCTGAATCGCTGCTCAGGTCATCAGAGGAGCCCAGCAGCTTGAAGGAGCTCTCGGGGACAGGTGGGGCCTCCTTTTCACCCAGCGATGGCTCCTGGCAGCAAACACACACACAACAAGTGAGACACAGCACAGGGGATGGATGTGTGGGATTGACACCACTCCAACAACCCCAGCACAGGAACGCTGGAATACAGAACTGCAGGTGGTGAGAAGAGCCAACTGGAGGCCACAGAAACATGAGGACTCACATTTACTGGACACCTCTGTGTAGGAGATGAGCAGGTAGGGAGAATGGGACATTTCTAAACACGTGACTGCCGCAGGCCGCTGCACCAACAGCGCCATATCTCCAGAACTCAGTGCTCGTGGCCTGCCCCAACATCGAGTTCTCTATGTCCACCAAGGGTCTCACTCACACATGTTACCCACACTTGGAGGCTGTCTTGGACTGTACCCCATATTACTCTCTAGACATGTAATGCCATGACTCAGGAGATACCTCTGACTTCCTCCTGCACATCATTTGCTCTCTGGTCAGGAGGCCTGTGGCAAGCTTTATCATACTGGGACTCAAGAAGGCAGCAGCATTATACAACTGACAGTGCTCTGTACATTGTCAAGTGTTAGACAAATGTAAGCCACCATTCTATTAAGTTCTCGATCAAATCCAAGTAGGGCCTCACATGCTGGCTGAGAATCATGACACTATTCTAACACCACAGACCTTCCAGGTGCACACTTTTCAAAGCAGTGACATATTAACACTGCTTCAAACCAGTGCACTGGGCATGGCTCAAGGTTACTGCATTTTGTTTCAAAAAAAAAAAAAAAGTCAAACTAAGAGCAGGTGTTTCACCTGTCCACTTTCTACATCATAGGACCAGGGCTTGATTCCTGGCACCAGTGTCCCGCTAACTCACTCCCTGGGAGGCAGCAAGCCGGGAAAGAACACTCAAGTCTGGCTTCCTTCCAGCCACGTGCGAGACCTGGGCAGTATTACTGGCTCCTGGCTCCAATCAGGGCCATCGTGGGCATCAGGAAGTCAACTAGCAAATGGGAGCTTTCTTTGTCTGTCTCTGATTCTCTATCTCCCTGCCTCTCAAATTGTTTAAGTGTTAAAATACATCGAAAGCAAGAGGACATGAACCTGCTTGTCACAACCAAATCTGCACTTGCACCAGAACCTCACTACAGATGCACCTTAAAAATCTGAGAAACTGTCAACCAGAGGGTTTCTTAAACTGTATACCTAATATCAAAATACCGCTATCAATCATGTGGCTTGTCACACAACGTTTTTAAAACAGAGCAGAAGGTTTTATAGGCTGTTCACAGCAAACACTGTTTTGAGAACTTGTAATTACTTCTATGTGTGTAGTCGGGTGTCTGTGAACCTTGAAACAATATTAAATGTGTTTCTTACTTTTGACCAGGTTTGAAGGCCATGTGTTGGGGGAGGATTACAGCATAGGAGTTAAGCCTCCGCCTGTGAGGCTGGCAACCAAAATGGTTGGGAACCAGTACGGCCTGGGAAGGCAGCAGGTGACCGTGCAAAGCCTGGACCTCTGCCACCCATACGGGTCAGCAGGATGAAGCTCCTGGTTTCTGGCTTCAGCCAGGCCCAGCCTCAGCCATCGTGGCCATTTGGGGAGTAAACCAAAGGGCTGAAGATCTTCTGTCTCTCTCTTTGTAATATTGCTTTTCAAATAATAAATATATTTTTTTTTTATTGTTGCTTACATTGTATTATGTAGTACAGTTTTATAGGCGCTGGGGATTCCCCCCACCCCTCCCATACCCCTCCCCCCATGGTGGATTCCTCCACCTTGTTGCATAACCATAGTTCAAGTTCAGTTGAGATTCATTGCTTGCAAACACATGCCTAGCATAAAGTTCAGCGTCTTATTGTCCAGATAAGTTCAGTGGCCTCTTGGGGAGACCTTCTATGGTCTGAAGATAGGTCTAACAGAGTAAAGATCCGGTCAGTTAAAAGCCCCAACAAGGCCTCAGTATCAATATACAACATATGGAATATTAAAAAGAAAAAGAGCCACATCTCCAGGCAGACTCTCAGAAGAGCTGAAACCATTCCTGTGGCAAAGAGCTGGCACCCAGAAACACATCCTCATTCTGGCACCAGAGTCTGCTCTGAGAAGAGGAGAGAGCCCTAACCCACTTTTTGGTTGTTATCAAGTTGAACCAATCAGATGTCAACGTTTTTAAGTGTCAGGGAAGAAAACATGAAAACAGGAGACATGAACAGACCGAACGGCCAGCTTTCTCATTATCACCAAGCTGTGCCTGGAGGCAGATGACACGGGACACCTTAGTCACTTGCATCATAAGCTTCCCACCCGATCAGGCCGAGGTTGGAGCTCCGGGAACCTGAGTGGTGTCACCTGGATTCAGGAGCCCCCTTCTATCAGGTGTTCCCAGTCGCCTTTATTTTTACTGCTGGGCAATCTTTCTGGGGAAGAAATCTATTGATGGGGTTATGATAAACTACATCTCAGACATCCAAAATGGTGAGCTTGTTCTTTTGCAGAACAGCCTTCCTGATCAGGTGTAATCCAGAATCCATGTGTTCCAACCAGCCCTCCCCAGCAGCCAACTGTGAGGTGAAGCTATGAGGTTTCTCTTGCTCCCCTCTGAGATCCTGATGGACAGGAGGTGGGAAAGACCTGGCAGCTGGCTTCCCTGGGCATCAAACAAGGAAGAGAGTGCTTACCTTGCTGGAGCTACTTAATGTGCTAGACATGGAACTGTCGAGATCCACGCTGGTAGAATGTTCTGGCAGACCTCTGGCTTTGTTACCCTACATGAAGAACAGATAGCTGAGTTAGGACTCCTGGGGCTTTTGCAAAGACATCTGCTAGAAGCAACTTGGTCTGTTTAAATCAGCTTGGGAAAAACACACAGGGTAAGACAGGCTTAATGTACGCATAAACGTACATTAAGACAATCCACAGCTCTGCTCTGTTTTTAAATACAACAGCAATCCAAATGTTCCAGAGGGAGAGTGGGATAAAAGAAACTGTTTCAGAGCTGCAGCTCAATCATTTGGCAGCAAGGCTGGCAGGAGTAAAAGCCAAGGCTCAACAGCTCTCTTCCTGAGCCACCAGTGGTCACACCCAGGCAACCACGCATCACTCAATTGACATCCTACCACTTGGGTTGGGGCTCTCACACACAGTGCCTCCCACACTCGCATTTGTAAATGAATTGTTTTCATTAAGATGATCTCAGAGGATGTTGCAAAATCCTCAGTAACATCTTCAAACAACATGAAATCTAACAAGAATAAATAAATAAAGCACAAGTTTCAAAAGGAGTGTGTCGTAAGATCAGAAAGACATGATGAGCTCAGGAAGGTGTGAAATTTTGACCCAGACACTGATCTACAAGAAGTATCACCAGAGTCACCCTACCCATGGAGGGGAGAGGAGTCGTTTCTGAGAGGGGTCCCAGCCGGGGCATGTGTGTACACTCTTCAGCTACAGAGCCGCAACTGACAAAGCAAAAGGCTAGACTGAAAATAACTCTATGCTTTGGGGGCCATGGGCATCTGTGGCAACCACTCAACTCCATGCAGAACCAGCCTCAGAAACTGGTAAACAAATGGACAAGGTTGCGTTTCAGTAAAATTTCCTTTACAAAACAACAGGAGATGGGCAGATTTGGCCCATGAGCCACAGTAGTTAGTGAACCTCTGCTACAGGGAGTTCCAGACACCTAACAGCAGCTAATGGTAACGGCTCCTGTTCCCAGGGAACACACCATGATGTGCCCAACACTGGCTCTTTCTAGAGATGGGCCAAGAGCAGGTTGCACTTCTATGAAGGACCCAGGAAGCCCCACTGGGTGCAAGACCACAGCACAAAGAACACATTTTAAACCTAGGCAACAGTTAGAAACAACTGAAAATGTAGGTAAAATATTCCAACAATGAGAAGACACACAAAAGGGTTTGAAACTTTCATACTTAATGACATACATGGATGAGAAAAGCATAGGTTCAATCTTACAATCTCTGCGGGAAAAAAGTGACTTAATCAAGGGGATTCACATGACTCACTCGGGACAGGATACTCTCCAAGGACTCTGTCAGAGACCTCTTCGCTTTGGTTCTCAGCATGTCCAGCCTGAAGCGAGTGGCACTGGCTGGCAGCTCACTTCCAACATTCTCTGCAGCAACGTGCCCGGGCTGAGGAGGGAAAGAGAAGACGAGTCACCTCAAGCTGCCTTCCTGCTACAAGCCTGACTCTAGGGCAATCTTCTGGACACATCATCACCTCAAGTACGTCTGTGATGTCACAGCACCTGCTCCCCAGTGCCATGGTATGAATCCAGAAACAATTCTGCCTCCAAGAGTTGCTTTGTCCCTGCTAAAATGAGAAAGTGTGCTTTGAAACTCACCAGTTAGACCGGTTTGGATCAGGGCTAAACAACTGGATCAGAGGTCTGGCTGCCACCAGCTAACTGTGACCTCATGTACATTTCTTCTTTGTCTTTGTATTTGTTCTTTGGTAAACCGAGTCCAAGAGCCAGATCTAGTCCTAATGCTGGGTTGTGAGATTCAAAGAGGTAATGTACAGAGAGCAGTGAGCAGCATCTAGCACAAAGGCAGCTATGACTTTGCTTTGCAAAGCAAAGTAGTAACTTCCCTCTGGGGTACACTTCAGGCAATGAGACAAAATAACTTCAGCCACTGAGGAATGTATCCCCCCTGCCTGTTACTCATTCCTCCTGTGTCTCTGTTGGTCTCAGTCGTCCCTGCTTGGTTTCCATCGCCCCTTCCATCCTCCTCACAGAAGCATCCCAGAGGGTGCCAAGTGCCAACCAAGCGAAATGCTTCTTGCCAACAGGCTTATGTGGTTTCTCACCTACTTCCTGTCAGGCAATGACTCTTAGAAACAAGCAAGTCCTTTAGTGCACGGTCTGCTCTATCTGTTGTGATTCCAAGCAAGCAGAAGAGTGTGGAGGTGAACTATCCAACCATCTCTGCCCAGCACCCAGCTCGGGCCAGTCCAGCAGTGGCCAAGCCTTGGGGGGCAGTGAGGAGTGGGTCAGAACGCTTCCCTGCTGCTCCCTGGCCTGGGATCCATCAGCTGCTGCCCCTGCCAACTAAGGCCACATGCTAAACCCTCCTCACAGGGCTGCCAATGAATTGAGGCACGTCAGAACACACTAGACATTCAAAGGATGCCAGCCTTTTGGACGATTATAAACCGTTCACTCCCTCTGGTTAACCAGAATCATTACAAACCCCTGTGCAGCCTGCCACTGCCCCTTCCTGCTGTCACCCACCCAGCCGACATAGGCACGCTCACTCGCCTGGGTCTGGTCTGTGTCTCTATCCATAAAACCCAAGCACTGGTTTTCAGACAGCTGACACTTGACATGAACAGGATCATGCTGTACGTGTCAGACACACCTTCAGGAAAGGTGACTATTTTTTTTAATTTTTATTTTTGATGATTTTTACAGTTAGTTAGGGTGATAAGGACAGCTGCATTCCACATCCGTGTGCCTGGGTTCACACTCCGGCTCTAGCTGCAGATTCTGGCTCCTGTTAATTCAGAGCCCAGGAGGATATGGGATGGCTCCAGGGGTTAAGTGATGCTGTCCACATGCAGGACCTGGAATTCAGTCCCTAGCCCCCATCTTTAGCTTGGCCAACCTCTGCCATGGATAGCAGTTACTGAACGTGTAATAATGCATTACGTATTTCAACACAGAAAACTTTCCATGGATAAGCTAGTGACCCTTATTGCATCATTATGCCATATACATGTATACTGAAACTCCTCGCTGTAAACACTGCACACACTGTATGTGTTTATACACACACATGTGCAATTACTGAGTACCAATTATAAATAAATTTAGAAAAAAAAAAAACTAGGGTCCTACATCTGTCCAGGTCATGTCAGAACGTGTCAGCCTTCTGCAGGGAAGCTTAGGGAATGAAAGCCACATGGTTCAACTGTCCGACCACAGAAATGAGAGCAGAAATCCACTGAACAATTTCTAAGCTCTATTTGACTCACTGAACACGCAGTGACTCTTCTGAACAACTTGTAGCTGACAGTGTCCAGCCAGCAGGTGAACGGGGAGGCCACCGACAAACATGGGATGGGAACTACCACTTTAAAGCAGGCAGAGACCTTCCTGCTCACAGGTCCTCTAAAAAACCCAAACAGCAGCTCTGCTGTGAACCTCAATCTGCTACTGCCAATCCTCCACTGTTTGAAAATGGGGGGGGTGGGGGCGCGGAAATCACATTAAATATATTTCTGCACTGGAACAATCCATACCAAAATCACAAAGATTGATCCTGGTCTAGAAAAATGAATTTGTACTTAGGCCAAAACTTTTGGCCCAGCATTCATGCTCAAAGTGATGTCGTTCCATCCACGATAAATGCTTCATTCCCCTTCCCAACCGTGAGAAGTTATTCGATCCACTGATCCACCATTAAGTTATCAATTTCCTGCTGAAACAAGTCAGGCTAACTCAAACACAAGAAAACTGTAATAGTTTTCTATCTCAGAAAGGAAAAAACTGTTACCAGCTCAAGAGGGTGAGAACAGGGTAAGAGCCCAAGAGGGAAAAAGAAACAGTTTGACAAGTAAGCAGCAAAATTAACTGAACACTTACTGGGTGGCCCATGGCAAATTAACAGTATCCCACGGCTGGGGCACAGGCTGGGAGGGAAGCTACAGCAACCAAACAGGGCCAAAAAACAGAAGGCCAGACAACACACTGGTGCTACAGTCACCAACAAAGAGGCCTTCAGCTAGCCAGCAAGATGAAAAACATACGTCAGGCCCCGCACATGAGCTCCGGGAGTTTGGCACGTGCTAACAAAGTTGGCCAGAGAGCAGGACTCCAATGAGATGGCTGTAAAGCGAACATCCAGGTAAAGCCGCACACACCTGCTACAGGTAACCAGTCAGGGAAGGCTGTCAGTGGCCAGACAGCAGGAGACAGGGCAGGCCGCCCAGCAGTTAAACATTGTGAAGTAAGCATTTGATATTGGAGAGAGAAAAGGGCAACGTTGTTTCTGGAAAAACTAAGGAATCTGAACATCCATTACCAGTAATCCTCTAAATTCCCTTGCCAACAAGTAATTTCCTCAAATACAAAATGCATATGGTTGGAGGCCCTTAATGGTTCGTTATGAATTGACTGACGTGGAGTCCAAAAGGCAAAGGAAAATGGTCTACAGCACCATGTACACCGAATCCCGAGTGTAGATCTTCAGAGGCCAAGAACTGAGGTAGCTCCGCCTCTGGACCTAACATCCCGCCAACAGAAGAGCCAAGAAAAGCTTCTTGTGGGCAGAACAAATGGGGACAGACGCATCTGCCCATGATGCAAAACCAGGACCAGTGCAAGTTCTATAGCCGAGCAGAAACCCTGCTGTACATGCTAACACGGCACCTGACTCCATAACATCGCTTTACACTCCCACGGCATTTCTGCTACAAACGGCTTTTGGGCACTTCATGCAACTCCAAGCACAATGGGACAGTGCTGCTCCCCTCTGACAAGGGACAAAGATGAGGTGACAAGGACCGACTTCTGGACAGCTGTGTCTGCTGTCAACCTCAACTGCGCGTGTCCTGAGCCAGTCCTCTGCCCAGGAGCAGACACAAACTCTCCTTGTCCTAACTAAGCAGAGCCTAATGCTCCCAAACCTTTCCATCTTTGTGCAACAAGTGAACGTAAAGCCTAAGAGGGAAAGGGGCCTCTGAGCAAGAGCCGTAAGAGAAAAACGCCATACCTGCTTCATCTCCCCGATGTGGACGTGTTCTTTTTGCTTCTCTTCATATAGACATCTCAGAAAGGAAATAATTAACTCATTCTCTCGCTGTTCATTTCTTGGTCTCAATTTCTTAAAAAAAAAAAACACATACACACACACGTTACATTACATTTCTTTTTAATTGTTTCCCCAATGCCTAATCCTACCCCTTGGAAATAACCAAGAGCTTCCACACACTGACTCGTGCTTTTATCTGATGCTTTCACTAGGGGGCACCAGCGACCCTAACAGTGAAGATGGTTTACAAAGAACAACAGTGGGGTCAATCGAGCTTTTGACCTCTTGGGTCTTCTTACCCAAAATAAAGTTTAAACATCAGAGAGAGGCATGGTCAAAATATTCAATAAATAAATAGTTCTAAAACAGAAGGAAAAATAGAATCTATATAAACAGGCAGAGGTCAGGGGCCACAATGTCGCCACATTCATCAATTCTTAAGGGACAGAAGGGGACAAGGGCAGAAATCCGGAGGCGTGGTTTGTCATGTTGCCTGAGCACCCCATGACCATGACACACCTTCTGGAAGCCTCCTGAGACAGGCACTTCCTTGCACAACTTCACAGCAGGCCATTTCCTTTTCCTTTCTTTTTCCTACAGACCCTCCCTGTGCCTTCTGACTTTCAGACAGGTCAGTGGTGAGGAACGCTGGCCTAGCAGCCACAAGAGGTGGATCTGGCTGCTGAGCAAAACTGTTCAGTTTTAGTTCCTCACCTGCTAAAAATGGAGTCCGCCCACAACTAGATCGCACAGCTCCTCCTTGGATCATCCTAAACAGCAAAGCCCACTTGTAGACGGCCAACTGATTTAATACATTATTTTTTCTGAGTATGAAGAAAACAAAACAAATGGACAATCCACAAAGCTGCTTGTCCACAAACTCAGGGAAAGTACCACTTCTATACTGTTGAGTATTCACTGTCCTGTTCCCCTGTCACCCCTGCTCCAAACCTCCGAGCTCCCTTTAAAACAAGATCGGGGGAAGGGCCAACCAAGCAGGCCTCAAGTCAGGCTGTCGGCACCTTGTCCCCACCTCCCAGGGACCCACTGACCCACATGTCTGACCCGTCTGACCGGATGGCTCTTCAAGGGGAGGATTATTTGAAAACAAGTTCTTCCTGTTACCCACGCAAGAGAGGGGAAACGATCACAAGTGTGTGTGTTTCCACCAGGGACTTTCTGTTCACAAATTTCAGATCTGAGAGTTAAACATTTAACAGGCTAGGGGAGACAACACTTGGCATGGACTCCAGGCCGTAAGCCCTGATGTGACCAAGTTCTGCATCAAACGGGCAACATGTAGAAGTCTCTAGAGGAAGATCCCATTAGATCCTCTAAAAAGGAAAAGTGCCAGCCAAGTGCCACAGTCGCCAACTTCACACAGCTGGGACCCGAGAAAGTCACGATATACTGAGACTGCAGGGCCACAGAACGACAGCCCCTCTGCTTCACAGCTGCTGGGAACACACGCTAAGAAAGCCTCTCTGGAAGACAGCCACCAGCTTCTGACCACAGGACACACTCAACGTGCAAGCCAGTCGCTGCACAGCTTGCTGTTCCCCAAAACGCACCAAGAATTCCCAGCCATCTCAACACCTGTGGCCGGATGCCCACTGCAGCTTGCTTCTTACTGCCATGAAAGTGGGAGCAACGGGAATGGCCCTAGAACACTGACAAATGGTGGGACAGACTACCATGCAGTGATAAACAGAAACGAACTGTCAAGCCTCCACCAAACAAAAAGAAGGCAAATGGAAGAAGGGATGTCTTGTATCACTCCAACTCTGTGATATTTGGTGAGAAGAAAACCATGGAGATAGGGAAAAGATGAGCAGAGAGGGGTCCACACCCACTGCACTATCCACCTGGTACTTAAGTTCCTCCCGGGAATGCGCTCACCGCCACAGGAGAGGCCGAGAGCCCCTCTGTGCCCAGCGCTAGCCAGGCTCGCTGCTGTTCCTCAGGCTGATGGCAACCTGTGGGGCCGCCAGGAGCACAGGGCAAGACACCACAGCTGTGAGCCTCACGCCCATCCTGTGACATGTGCCAGGAAAAGTATCCGCCTCAAACAGGCCGCACACCAGGAGGAGGCCTGGCAGCACTGGGAATCATCATGGGGACCCAGCTGTCCCCTAGCACATGCATCGCCAGCTCGCTTCCACAGGATCTGGCCCCAGCACCACCTGCACAGCTACTGCTGGCTGCTGATTCTCTGTGGTTGTTTTGTGTGGAGTTACTTTCTCCACCTGGAACATTCATTGACAGAGAGCTGAGCACAGCTCATTGGTTTTAACAAGCACGTAGCCGCACAGTCATATCAAGAGTAACTGTGGGGCCCTGCACGATAGCGTGGTGGTTAAAATCCTCGCCTTGAACACGCCAGGATCCCATATGGGCACCAGTTCTAATCCCAGTGGCCTTGCTTCCCAGCCAACTCCCTGACTGTGGCCTGGGAAAGCAGTCAAGGATGACCCAAAGCCTTGGGACCCTGCACCCACATGGCAGACCTGGAAGAAGCTCCTGGCTCCTGGCTCCTGGCTTCGGATTGGCTCAGCTCCAGCCATTGTGGCCTCTTAAGGAGTGAACCATTGGACGGAAGAGCTTCCTCTTTGTCTCTCCTCCTCTATATATATATCTGTCTTTCCAATAAAAATAAATTAATATTTCTAAAAAATGGAGTAACTGTGAGGAGTGAGCCATTTTGTATCTGCTTCCCCTTTCGCACAGCTCACTCAATCGGCACTGTTCCAGTTATCCACCAATGAGATGTAACCTCATGGCATCTCACCTGAGACCACCCCCCCAATCTGTCACAGCCTCTCCTCCTATTCCCCACCCACCTACCTGTGGCTCAAGTTCAGTCACCAATCCCTTGGTGCCCCCCCACAGCCCTCCTCCCAACCAACTGCCCACACCGCCCACACCTTCAGGCTCAGGGTTGGATAAGGGAGCTTCCACGTGTGCCCCTCGTCCCTTTTTCTCCTTTTTGCCTGGCTCTCCCCATCCTACTCCACCTTGCCCCCTTCCCCTGCTTTGGTAGCCTCCCATCCTGCCACCATGGCAGGAGACGCGTCCCTGCGTGTTCTCCACCCCTCCACCCCCGCTCCTGCCCTCACCCCGCTGGAGTAAGGACCTCCTAAGCACTTCACTGCACCTGGGATCTGGGCTTGTGGTAAACTTACCGCAAAAAGAGAACCTGGCTGTGGGAATTAGCTGTGTAGAGGAACTTTAAGTGTGTTTAAAAACTAACAGTAGCTACACCTAGCTTATGAAAACTGGGCCTTTGAGGACTTCTTAAACACAAATCACCCTCCACCAGGGATGGTATTTACCATTTATCACAAGAGGACTCGCCCAGCTGCAAGGCCACCTCGTCCTTTTGCAAGCCCCCTTAGCAGGCACTGCTGCCTAGAATGAAACCAAGAGCAGCCACTGGGGAATGAACTCGACAGGCCCATCAGCAAGCCTGTAGAAAGCTCAACCCTGGCTCATCAACCCTGGTCCTTCCAGAAAGCACCATGGGCAACAACGGAGGTCAGAGGAGAAGCTGGTGCTTCAAGGCCAGGAAATACCACAACTTCTGGTGTTCTGAGCAACCAAGATGTAAAGTGGCCTTGAGAGGTGAGGTTTTTTTTCCCCCTTTGTAATTAATCTAAAAGCAAGCCTTTGTCACCTGCTTCTTTACCAAGTCTTTTAACTTGGTACCAGGAATCCTGCATGGGCCCAAGTGAGTCTCAATCCTGGCCATGAGCAACTTGGCATTCTTGCAAGAGAATGTTGTATGTACTGTCTATTCTGATTTAGCACACCTTTATTAAGGGAACATTACATGGTGTTTTCTACATGAAAGGGAACATCCACACCAGGCAGAGACATGCCTTCGGGAGTTGCTGGGTAGATGCTTCCCTCGAACCTGGCGAAGGACCGATGGTAAGCAGGCCAGAAGGGGAGGAAACAGGCCAAACTTCCACCACCAGGGCCACCTGTCTGTTTCTGAATCCCAAGTACAAATTATATTGGTCTACAAGCATCCTGAACTTGAAAACTTTACAGATCCTTGAAGAAAAGAACAAAGTAGTATGTCGCAAGCTGGTTTAGAAGAAAACAATATAAACCAGATTGAAAATCATGGAACCCGCTACAGCTCCTGCTGGTTTATGTGAGGGCCAAGTATGTGCTGGGCAGAACCAGGCTGGACTGCAACACCCATTGGTTCCAGTGGAAGTCGGGAGTGAAAACAGAACCAACCCAGGAATTGCAACCACCAGCTGATTGGAGCGATGGACGGTGCCAGGCCCTGTACTTGTTAGCACATACAAGAAGTTTCTTTGGAGATCTTCCTAATCTAAATGCTGGACTCAGAACCCTAACGAAGAAAAGAGAGAAGACAGAACGGGTCAACCAACCATCTCAGCTATGATGGACTATGTCAATCAGTGGATTTTTCAAAGATCTCATAGTGCTTGGAGTGGCAAGATTGACAGTGATTCATAACTGTGGCAATATCAAGACCACTTGAGCAAGAACCTCAGAGCATGCCCTATATCCGGGACCTGGGGAGGGTGGGAAATTGGGTGGGCTTCTCCCTTAAATACCCCCCTTTGAATATGAAGCTAACAATATGGAAAACATACTAGTATTATAAAAAAAAAAAAAAAAGAAAATCATGGAACCCACCCTCTAAGCTGTTTGTGCAATTCCAACGTCCTCCTGTGCTTGTTTTTCGACAATTAATATGCCAATCCTACCATGAACAAAGAAAGAGGCGCCCTAGCACGTGCGTACAGGGAACATTGCGCTCCTTTAACTCGGAGCACTAGCAAAAAACTGACCATGGGGCAGTCTCTCTGCACGAGGAGGAGGAAGAGAAAGAACCTGTGGCCCAGCTTTCCTCGCTGCTCAACGATGCTTCTATTTGTAGAACCTGCGGGTCACCCCACGAGCGCCCCCCAATAAACACACGCCGCGTTCTGATGTGTTTTCCTCCCCTAGACCAGCTCCAGCAGACCACAGAAAATGTCCCCTTGGCTGAAGCAGATGTAGAAGTTCTGGCAAGCTCATTAAAGATTCGCCCTGAGCAGACCACACAGCCTGGCTTCCCTGAGCCACACAGCAGCCGGAGGCGAGGACAAGGGCTATCTTCTCCAGGTTGGGGGCAGAAAGGACAGGGAGCCGGAGTTTTGTTGACATTTAGCTGGTGCTATTTTTATTTCTGGATTTGATCTACGGTTCTGTGTAGACAATATGACCTAAATTTTGAAACCTTACGGGAGCGGTGGGGGGCGGAAAAGCAGCAGAAATGCACAAGACACTGTCTCATTTAACTTCCAAAGCTGCGGTGGAACCGAGAGCAACAAGGGGCAGCCGAGGTTTCCACAAAGCACATGAGGGTGCAGAGAACCAGGTCCAAGCCTCCGGCTCCCTCTTCAGAGCTTCCGCTCTCTTACTCTAACCTGCTTTCTGAAGGGAGAAGCTGCCCTGTTATGAAAGCCAAGACGAACGTAAACCCATAACTCTAATCCAGTCGGCCCGGGGACTTGTAGCTTGAGCCTGGGGGTGCCCACAGCCTCATCTGCTGGCTGGTGACAACATGGCCTGGCTGACTGGGGCACACGGCACCACGGCATCTCACATGGAACTTGCTGGCTTTTCCCTGCCTCTCCAAGTCACAAAAAAAAAGCCTCCACCATACCTGAACCTCCTCAAAAATAGTCGCTTGCTCCTGGTTGGTTAAGGTTGTCAGGTGCTTCTGGAGTTCTAGTTTGGTTTTAGAAGAATTCATTCCTATTAACAGAAAAAAAGAGAGAGAGAGAGAGAGGATGATGGATTTAAACGTTAGGAGGGGGAGTTAACACTTCCACAATCACTGTCTTATAGCCTCTCACACCCCATGCGGACTCTTCAGGACCTATGGAGATTCTAACCAAAGTGCCAGAGGTGCGCTAAGGTTAGTTACCCCCAAGGCCACCTGATGAGGAGGAAATCCGTTTTACAGCTAAGGAAACTGAGGCCCACTGAGTTTAGGAAACTCCCAAAACACACCACCCTGGACAACCCTCAGTGGGAGTGGCTGTCAAGAGCTTCCCCTGCGCTGCAACGCTTCACCCAAAAAGAGCATGCTCCCCAGGCTCTGGTAACTTCTTGTGTCCCTGTAGCCAGGGCCGGAGACATGACACCTCTTTCTCAAGGGAAGACACCTGCTGGGGTTTTAAAACTAGGCTCGACAAGTTTCTCTGGCATGTTAGGCTGCCTTCATGGAAATCTGACCCATGCACTGGACCATTTTCCTTTTACCACGTACTTATCATTCCAGGCCTTTAATGAACACAAGGGAGAGTTCTGAGGAAAAGCTGCAAAAACCAAGGCAGTGCCCAGCACACGAGGGCCCAGCTGCCTCTGCTATTTCAGAAAGTCCTCCTCCACGCAGCTGCAGCTCAGGGCCTTTTCTGGCCTCTTCTCCAGAGCCGGTTCCTCTCTCTTCCCCAAACTGTGGCCATGACAGGGTTTTTTTGTTTGTTTGTTTTTTAAAGAGGAAGCCGAAGAAAAACCTAAGCAATCACCATAAAAATAACCAATATTTCTTTCCAAAAACTTTGTTGATTTACTGCTACTTAATTGAAAGGCAGGCAGATTGGGAGAGGAGACAGAGAAAACACACTCCCATCCACTAGTTCACTTGCTAAATGCCTACAACAGCTGGACTGGGCCAAACTGAAGGCAGGAGCCAGGAATTCAAGCTGGGTCTCCCATGGGGGGTGACTGGGATCCGAGGACTTAAGGTGTCATCTGCTGCTTCCCAGGGTCATACTGGGAGGAACCTAGAACTGCACTCTTGCTGGGACTAGAACCAAGATGCTCCAAGCAGGGCCTTAACCGTTGCATCACATGTCTGCACCTCAATATCCCTTCAGTGACTGTTGGGCCACTTCACTCAACAATTTCCATGCATTATTTGATTCAGTTTCTCCCAAATAATCCTTAAAATGGGTGATTTTTTTTAAGCAGCCCTAATGTATAGACGATGGAATTGAGAAATGAAGTATTTTGCCCAAGGTCATCAACTCAGTAAAGGACTGAGTTAGATCTGGAACCCTGCACAGTTGCCTTCCAAACCACTCTTACAGGCTCTGCTGCTTCCCCCGAGTAGGACGGACGCACAATGAACACAGAGGAGGGAGTGTGCCTGCAGGTGGGCTGGTGTGCTGGCCAGGATGCAATCCAGATGTTCAGCAGCAGCCAAGTCTCACAGCGCCAGGAAAACAAACCACCAGGCCTCATGCTATCAGGCACTCCAGGGCTGCCTCGGGAGACAGACTGACTGTGCAGTGTTGGCAGCCGGAGGGCAGTCAGGACACACTGTCCAGTCCCTTGTGCAGTGGGATATCCAGGATGCCTTGGCTGACCCGGTGCTTCCAGGCCCACCTAGGTCCTAGCGCCTTCCACATGGCTCCTTGCCACCTCTGGCCGTCAGGGGATGGCCTACAAGTGTAGAGATGAAAAAGGAGCAAGGTGACTTCCCCTTGGACAAGGAGACAGCCCCTCACTGTCAGAGCTGAAAAGGCTCTCATCCCAGGGAGTGTTCATGAATGACCTGGCTTTCCTAGGGGGAAATGTGCTCTGGGAACAACAACAACAAGGCTTGGCTTGACCTTCTTCCTTTCTTAGTCAAAATCTAAATGCTCCTCTAAAATGTAAAAGCAGTACAGTACGAAGTTCAAAGTCCTGAATGAGTGGAGCTGCACCACTCCCAAGCTGTCAGAACAGGTTGCAGCAAGCACCTTCAGCATAGTTACCATGCACAATGCATTTAAGCTGCTACAGAGACACAGGAGTTGTGTTGCAGATCATATGCCTGCAAAAGCTGAGGAAATACGGGGATTTTGAGGAGCCATGTCACTCACTGGTCCTCTCCACAGTTCATGGAGTTTTTGGTCAGATTGTAACTTTCTGTCCAAACCACCTTTCCAGGAATATATAACTTTTTCTTTTTTAAATCAAATCATCTCATGCTATTCATTTTGAAGGTAACAGCAAAAAGCAAGGGACCCTAAAGCCATTCATCAAGTCATTATCAGCTCCTCTACTACAGATGCCTCTAGTTCATGTCCCTTCTGGAAGAGTCTTTAGAAAGTTCATGCAAAAATGCATCTTTACAAGAAAAAAAAACATGCACGGGCTTCAAAGACTTTGTGCCCAAATTATCTTTCAATTCCATTCCACAATATCCTCACATATTTTTAAAAATGCTTTCCATCATGAAGGTAAAGCACATGTGCACCAGACTTTAAACCATACTATTTAAAGAATGTTTTTGCATGAATAGAATTTTCTACTGTGGCTGGACTTTTTTTTTTATTATTATAATTTATTTGAAAGGCAGAGTAACCAAGAGAAAAGGGGAGATAGATCTTCCTTCCACTGGTTCAGTCTCCAAATGCCAGGTGCATTCTAGCAGTTGCATAACAGCAAATGTGAGCAACAGCCAGGCTGGACCAAGTCAAAACCACAGCCAGAAACCAGGAACTCCCAAGGCCTCCCATGCAGATGGCATAGCATCAGCTGCTTGCCAGGTGTGGTAGCAGGAAGCTGGATTGGAAGTATGCAGTAGCCTGGACTTGAACCAGGCACTCTGCTAAAGGAAACAGGTGTTCCAAGCAGCAGGAGAGCTTGCTGTGTCACAAACGCTGACCCCTGGCATTTGAATTTTCTCAGATAAAAGGTTAATCAAATAATCCTAATACTAAAGCAGCCAAAAAAAATCCCTACCCTGATTAAACTTTTCAGCGGTAGCTTTCTGAAAGCTAAGCCATGACAAAGAAAGATTTTAAACCAAGCGGAGCTCTGGAAGCCTTCCAGTCCCTGCAGATCAGGATCTGCTTTATCTTCAAGGCCAAAGCCGTTACTGGCTTCTTAACAAGCACTTCAGGGACCTTTCCGTCATCATTTACCTTATCTTGACAACCACTAAGAAAAGGGTTAGTGATCCTCTCAGGAGGGAGCTCTGGTTAGAGCCGAGCTTCTCTTGCTCCCAGCTATACTGTGCTGAAAGTCAGCAAGCAGTAACAACTTTGGAAGCACTCAAAAATAGTAACCATATTTCTTCATTTTATAGAGAGCATGGTCATGACATAAACAAACTTTCTCAGACTTTTAAAGATGTCACTTGTTATTTATTTCACTTGAAATTAGAAATCAGATACTTTTTCGCATCCATTAGGATGCTATCATCAAAACACACACACACACACACACACACACACACACACACACACACACACACACAACAGCAACAACCTTCCAACTTTAGTAAGGATGCAGAGAAAGCAGGCCCTTTGTCCTTTGTGAGCGGGTATGTAAGATGCTCTAAATGTTGTAGAACAGTGTGGCAGTTCCTTAAACAACAGAGCACAGAGTTAGCACTAGGAACCAACCACTGAAGGCAGAAATCTGCAGATACTTGTACACCAACATTCACAGCAGCTAACACATATCCATCACCCAAAGGTCCTCTGGCAGACACACAGAAAAGCAAAAGGTGGTACCCACATGCAAAGCAATATTACTGACCCTTAAAGAGAAATGAAATTCTCTCTCTCTGTCTCTCTCTCTCACACACACACACCCACACCCACATACACACACCCCTATGAATCAGCCTAGGAGATTTTATGCTAAGTGAAATAAGCCAGAAACAAGAAGACAGGTCCTATAATCCCATTTATGTAAAATATCTAGAGTAATCTGATCAATAGAGACAGAAAGTACCACAATGTCAGAGGTTACAAGCAGTGGGAAAGAGGATGTGACAAGGGCCATGAGTGTCAGCGCTGCAAGACCAAAATGCTCCTCCAATAGAGAGCAGAAATGGCTGTGTGACAGAGCGGACAATGCAGCTAACAGCCCACTTAGAAAGTGGACACTGGGACCAGCGCCGTGGCATCGCAAGCTAAACCTCTGCCTGAGGTACCAGCATCCCACAAAGGTGCCAGTTTGAGTCTCAGCTGCTCTGCTTCCCATTCAGCTCCCTGCTATGGAAAAGCAGCAGAGTATGGCTCAAGTTCTTGGGAACCTGCACCCAGGCGGGAGTCCCAGAACATGCTCCTGGCTTTTGAATGGCCTAGCTCTGGCCATTGCAGCCATTTAGAGGAGCGAACCTGCAGATGGAAGATCTCTCTTTCTCTGTTTTGTTCTCCTCTCTTTAAATCTTTAAAACAAAAAACAGTATGATGTTTTTATGCTACATATACTTTCACTACCTTGAGAGCTTATTTGGAGGGTCTAGCAGGGGAGTGCAGCTACTCATATACCCTTGACCAAAGACCAGTCCTCCTCCAGCAGGGATGGTCGTCCTCTTCAACCGAGCCTGCAGCTTTGGGAGGGACGCACATGGAGTGGTGAGGAAGGAAGGGGACACCCGCCTAGCCAGCCAGATCAGCCAAATCAACCATTGCGATCAATGGGGTGACAGATGTCGTAGTCAGATCGCCCTTACATCCTACTTTCACTACCTAAAAAAGAGGGCCCAGTGCGATGGCTCAATTGCCTAAATCTTCATCTTGCATACACCAGGATCACATATGGGTGCCAGTCCGTATCTTGGCAGTTCCACTTCCCATCCAGCTCCTTGCTTGTGACCTGGGAATACAGTAGAGGATGGTCCAAAGCCTTTCCCTGCCCCAGCATGGGAAACCCAGAAGCAGCTCTTGGCTCCTAACTGGCTCATCTCCAGTCATTGCAGCCATTTGGGGAGTAAACCAGCAGATGGTAAACCCTCTCTCCTTCTCTCTGTAAATCTGCCTTTCCAATAAAAACAAATCTTAAAAAGAAGCAGAGGAAGAAGAAGAAAAAGACAAATCAGATCTAAACAGAGATGCAGTTTCCTGTATACATTTAGAGCTTATAGATATATGGGAATTAATTACACCACATTTTTAATTGCTTGACTTGGAGGAGAAAGAATCTTCTACCCACTAGTTCACTCCCCAAATGTTTACAAAGACATGGGCTGGTCTTGTGAACAAGGGGCCCTGGGGCCCCTTGCTTTCCAGGGCCAATGCCAAGGTTAGCAGCTAGGAATGTAATCCAGGGTTGGCAGAGACTCAGGTACTTCAGCTTTAACATGAGCAGGAATGTGGAACCAGGAGAGGGCTGAGATGCACACCCAGGCACTTTAAGGCAGGATACAAGTGCCCCAAGCTCAGGTCTTAACCAACCAGCAAAACACCTGACCCCGTGGGAAAGAATTAAATTGTCACTCTCTCTTTACAGTAACGCAGGTAGTTGAAATCATGTGATAGCCCCAAAACCACAAATTAAAAAGATCTGGAAATGGAACAAAATCACAACGGGAGAGGCATGAACCCCTTTGCCACTTGAATTCCCTCGATGAGCATCAGCACTCCTACTGCTAGGCTCTAGCCCCCGTCTGGGCCCCTCCCAGTCCCTCCCAGTCCTTGGCCAGCCATGTGCCCCTTCCCATCCCTTACTGACCCTTCAACCCTTCGCACTTTGACTTGGTTCACATTCCTACAACTGTAAAAGTAGAGTTAGTAGGAAGCTTTGGACACCAGCTCTCCATGCCCCCCAGCATGGCATGCTCCTGGAAGGCTGGTACAGGCTGAATTCTGGGCTCACCAGACATGACTTTATCACTGGATGTCTTTCATCCTTTACTCCTTTCTAGAAGGTGCAGGGCAAATCCGAACAACGTTAACACTGCCCCCAAGCCACATTTCTACAAATAGCAGTATCTGCCATCAGCACTTCTTTCATCCTTTCCTATTAGCTTCTCCACCACAGCCTGTCCTCTGTGCCCCTGCCCCAACATGGCTGTTCTCCTAAGGGTGGAACCCTTAGCTCATCTCACTAGGTCCCACTGCAGTGGTCCAGGTGCCCGAGCCCTCACACAGCTTTGAAGAGTGAGGGGAGCTGGTGTGGTCACTGTTTCCCTAACTCCTCCACTAAGCTCCAGACACAGAGGTGTGGAGTCCACACCTCCACACCCCTAACACAGCACCTGACTATTAGAACACACCCACAATTGGGCAGGGCAGCTCACCTGACCCTCTGTCCTGTATTACACCCAACCTTTCCCTAGGTCCCGTTGCTCTGCCCAGCAGCCACCTGGCACCAGGCACCGCTCACCCTCTATGCGTTCACAGAGCTTGTGCAGGCCCTGCAGGGGGCAACCCTCACACAGCTGGGCTGGCGCCTTGGCCGTCTGCTGCACCGCGGCCACTGTGAAGGCCTGCTTCAGGGTCATCATGATTTCATCAACCTGATCAAACAGAGAGAAGAGAGAGGGTGTCATCAGTGCAGGGTCCTGGAGTTGGGGAGGGGAGCTACGGATGACACTGGGTATGCTGGGACTTTACTGACCTCCTTCTTCCTCTGATGGCAGACGGTAACCATCACAATTGCCAGTGCTGCTAAGAACCCTCCCCAGAGGCTCAAAGCTCTTAAAGCAGACAAGGCAAAATAAAAGCTACAGGTCCAATACACAGACACCAAGCCAACACCTCTGGCCAAGAGTCCAACGTTGACATTTACAAAGGGGACGAGAGGGTGGAAATGGTCAAGTTCTTCAAACACAGAGAACCCCTTCACCGAGCATCTGAGCATGTCTCAACTGAGTGTTCGCTGTTGCATCTGCACAAATGGGACCACGAAATGCAGATGACAAGCACACAAGGCTACCCCACCCTGTTAAGGACGTCTACGGCCCCAGGAGGCTGAAGCACCCTAGAGGCCAATATCCCTAGTGAGAAATGTAAGTCCCCTCACCAGAGCTTCATTGGCGCACTGAAACACGTAGCAGACGAAATGGAGGCCGCCGCCACCGCCCGAAGACTCCCGGCAGATAAACCCAAAGTGGTCCACGTGCCGGATGCCCTGTGAGAGGGAGGGGAGAGGGAGAAGGAAGCTGGAGGCTGCTGCCAGAAATGCTTGCCCACTGCAACTTCCAGAACACTAAGAAACTGCCATGTGCTCACACATTTTACAATCAAAAACTACCGAAGAACCCCTTCTCAGCATGTTCATCAATGTCAAGACATTGTTCTGCTAAAATGTTACATATGAATATTAACATGTAAGCTTTGAGGCATCACTAAGAGAACATCACTGCAGATACAACATCAACTGTATATGTTAATGCAGTAACATCTTCTGAAAGCACCAGATTGCAGATACCAGCGATGCTGGCTTGAAATTCAGCTAAGCGTGGAAATGTATAAACTGTCCTCTTTTGGAAATTACTATCACATTAGCAAATAAATTTTGACATTAATATTACATAAATAGAAGTCAAGATCAGAACTTTGTGGCTACTCTTGGTTTAGGCCCAACAGTTCCTAGTAACAAAACAGTCACTGACACGCCCTAGCAGCTAAATCAAGGGGCTCCAGCAGTTGATGAGGCCTGCGCCACAGGCTGCCACCCAGGAACCTAGGACTTAGTAAAAAAATATCTTTGGAAATGGCTCTCTGCTGGATTATGACCAAGAACTTGTTTTCATGCTTAGAAAAGAAAAAAAGATTTCCTCTTGGACATATATTAAAAATCATATTATAAATCAACAAATACTGGTATTTTTCAGTGACTCTTATTAGGAAAATGAGAAATCAGAACTAAGAAACACAGCACCATGTAATTGTAAGAGCCCTCTTATTTGTTAGGACAGCCCTGACTACAACTGGCATAGCTAGTCATGACTGAGAGATTGCTCCAAAATCTCCAGGAAACTGTGATTTTAGTAAAATATCTGCAAAGATAAGCACTCCTATATCTTAAGGGAGAAGAAAATGAAGACTGATAGAAAGGAAATTTGTAAATTTTTACAAGGTTGAAATAAGTATTCATCGTATGCACAAACATATATAATACAGCTATCCCTAGAACGGACAAAGCAACAATACTAACAACAATTCCAAAAATCGAAAGTAGATTGGTTTTCTCTAATGTGTTTTTTTCTTTTAATTTAGTTGAGAAGCAAAGAGAGAGAAGGAGGGAGAGATCAGTCTATGAACTGTTGGTTTACTCCACATGCCTACGACACGCGGGCGGTGGGAATGGAGATGCGGAATCCAGCTCTCCCACGGGGGTCGCAGGGACCCATTTACTTGAGCAGTAACTATGGCGTCTCGAAGTCAGCACTGGCAGAAGCTGCAATCAGGAGACAAGGATTCAACCCAGGTTCTGATGCTCATGGTGGGGGGTCCTCACCAGAGGCCTTCTTTTTTTAACAAGGATTTACTTTTCTCCTCAATACAGATTTACATGCATAGGAGACCGTCCCTCCCTCTCCCTCTCTAACCAGTCATTTATTTACTTATTTATTTTTATTTGAAAGGCAGATTTTTTTTGGTTTGTTTTTGAGAGAGGGGAAACAGAGAGAAAGATCTGCTCTCTGCTGGTTCACTCCACAATGGCCTCAATGGCTAGGCCGGTCCAAAGCTGGGAAACAGGAGCTTCTTCCAAGTCGCCCACGTGGGTGCAGGGTCCCAAGGACTTGGTTCATTGTCCACCACTTCCTCAGGCCACAAGCAGGGAGCTGGATTGGAGGTGGAGCAGCTAGAACAGAAACCAGTGCCTATACAGGATGCTGGTGCTGCAAGGCAGAGAACTAGCCCACTGTGCCAGCCCCCCTCTAACCAGGCTGTTATACTGCTAAGCCAAACTCCCGCCTCTCCAGTATGCTATTGTTCCTAAGATCAAAATTCTTAATGCCCAAATTCTGTTTATAATGTACCTTAATACACCAAAAAGAGGGAAAAATGCAAGATCACATATCAAGAACTTAAAAGGACACATGTGTGACATCTTAAAAAACCCATCCCCATTTACCTGAGAGCAAAAGGATATCTCCTTAAAGTTCTTCTCCAATGCTACTTTTTTGGTGTCTGGACTGATGAGGTAAACTTCTGATTGGCCAATCTTAAAAGACAAGCAAAAAAAAAGCAGTTAGCCCATGTGAAACTGGGATTCCAGTGAATCCTGCAAAGCTTCCCATTCCGTGAGCCACCAAGATACAGGATGAAAGGGGTAATTGCTACGAGAGCCTGATAGCACCACTGAGGTAAAGCAGCAGAGCCTCTGGCATCCCCCTGCCTGTCCGCACCGAGAGCCACACTGACCTGCCTTCCTGAGACAGACCAGAGTCAAGAAGCCTCAGAACCCACATCTCCCTGGCAGCAAAGCATTTCAGGAAGTTTAAGCTTCTGAGTCTTTTTTCAATTATTGTCAAAATACTCTATTTGTTGTATTGGGTATGCATCCGCCTGTGCTACAAACTCCCACTCAGCCTTTTTAAAGGGAGCACATTAGACTAAGTTTGCAAGGCCTTGCTGTCTCAGAGCATCACTGCAGACACCCATAGTAGTGGAATGTGGTACCCACCCCATCCACCACCACTTCCCCCTGCTGCCTGGTGGGAACGTGGTGCAGCTTCCTGGGAACCTGTGTTTGACCTTCTTCTCAGCACCACGGCAGCGGCGGTCATGTCCTGGGGCTGTGTCTATTGGTCACAGTGGCCTACCCCCTGAGTCCTTTATGCCCCTTAATCCTTTGGAATAAAAAGCACATGTACAAGCGTGTAAGAAACTAGGATAACGATATTCCCAGTGTACCCTCCATGTGGGGCATGGGCTTCACACTCACAATATTTTTTTTTGTTTTTTTAAGGAAAGACAGAGTAAGATCTGTCGTCTGCTGGTTCACTCCCTAAGCGGCTGCAATGGCTGGAGCTGAGCCAATCCAAAGCCAGGAGCTTCTTCTGGGTCTCCCAGGTACGTGCAGGGTCCCAAGGACTTGAGCCATCTTCTACTGCTTTCCCAGGCCACAAGCTAGTGGGAAGTGGAGCAGCCAGGATACGAACCAGTGCCCACATGGGATCCCAGCATGTGCAAGGTAAGGACTTAGCCACTAGGCTACAATGCTGAGCCCCACACTCAAAACAGTTTTTGCCTGTTGTATTTCTGACTTGTCCTTCTGTTTGCTGAGACCCAGCAAGCCCTTTATGCTTGTCCTTCTGTTGTGGTCAAGTATAAGGGAAAGCTAACTAATCCTTAACATGTAAGATTTTTCTAAGGTTGACTCGACTGCGGGCCTCTCTTTAGCAGTATGGCCTATATTTGTAAATAATTACTGAATCCCCATTTTGATACTTTTTTCCCCCTTTTAGAGAGCAATGTCTTTAACCTCTATAATGAAAATTACCTCTTACTTATTTTTCAAAAAGAACCTGTCAAAACAAAACAAAAACCCGCAGTTGACAAGCTTTCAAAGCCTGCTTATTTGGCCATGCTGTGTTGTAATGAGCCAATGAAACCTGGGGTCAGGTGGGGTCTGTGAGAACATGCGCACATGGAATCCACCACTAGACCGCATCAGACTGAACTCCGGAGGCTGTTGCACCTGCCCACTTGTCGCCGAACCTACGCCTGCTCCCCACCCTCCTCTGGGACTACCACTCTGTGCTGAGCACCCTGTTACCTTGCGGAGAGACGTCCTGGTTCTGCAGACACATTCACCCACTCGGAACCTTGCAGTGACTATGCCCTGCTTTCAGTCTAAAAGCAGAACCGTGAGCATGACTCATCAAGGTCATGCCTGATGATGCCCTCCCCTCCCCGGCTCCATCTTTTCCCACCCTCCCTTTCTGATTTCGGTGCACAGCCAGCTGTGCCAGGGCTGTGTTCCCAGCACTGCTGCTGACGGCAGTGGACAGAGCCCATGTCGTCATGAGGCCTATCTCCCAGGGGCATATGGAACAGGAGATATTTCACTTGTTCATTATTATGTTAGGTGTCAGTGAGTGCAATGGAGAAAAATTAAGCAAAGAAGTGCGAGGGGAAGTTGTTCTTGGTCCTGTGTCTCAGCAGTGTCCTGGTTCCAGCAAGGAGGCAAGACTTGTGCTAACCTGGGGGAAGGCTGACTGCAGAGAAACAGGTCTAAGTTCAAAGGCCCCAGGGGATGCCCAGGTAACACGCTCAACTCCCACCCCTGCCCAGAGCCTTCTCACCTGCTGTTCCCTCAACCAGCACAGCCTCACTGTCTGGGCTGCCCCCAGGCCTCCGGCGAGAGAAGCCCTTCCCAGCACCCTCACCTCCTCCTCGGCAGCACTCCCCCCAACTCTAATGAGATGACCACTTTGGCAATCTGTGGCCTCTCCCCCTTCTCGCGGTCAGAGACCCTGCCCGTTCGCTGCTTCAATTTCTAGTGTGTGGCAAGGGACCTTGTACAGGGCAGTCACGAGGCAGTAAGTTCTTGAAAATATCTACACTCAGCAACTTCCTTGCTGACACCAGGAGAGGTGTTTTGACTTAAAAAAAAAAAAAAAGACAGATCACAGATGAAAGGGCAAATCTGACTGACAGTGTGGTATTCTTTGTGTTTCAGAGAGTCAACAATGAAACCCAGAGGAAATCCCCACCTAGGAGCTGCTCACCTCCCACCACCCCCGGCACCCAGGGAAGCCTGCAGCCCGCAGCAGCCTGGGCACCCAGCTCACAGGCGTTCTGCCAGGAGCCAGAGCCGCCAAGGCCCCCACTCCGTCAGAGGCTCACTGCCTCCTGGGTCGGTGCCCAGTCCCTTCAGCTTATAGACCTGGAGAACTCCTGACAAGGGGCAAGCTTCACTTACCAGTTTTACACGTTTTGTGATTTTTTTTTTTGTCTAGAAAAAAGCAAGCAGTTCATTCATCCAAGACATTATTGACTTTGAACACCAATTACAAATACAAGGTTATCCACAAACCTAATTCTTCATTATAAAGGCTGTTTCATAAATTAATAAAACATCAAAACAATATTCTCCAACTAAAACATTCTGTTGGTATATATATATTTCAATTGTTTCATTTATCCACTTCTCTCACTTCTGCCCAGGTTGGGAAGTTAGAAGCACCCAGGAGAGAAGTGGGGGTCGCCCAGCTTCCCACGGGTCGCTATAAAGGCTTAGGGCTCAGATAAGGACGATAAGCTAAGAATGATTGGCTCTGGATCAAAACCACACGGATCCCCGCATACACCCGCCAGCGGGCTTTCTCTGAGCCGCCACTGCCGCCGTTTACCGTGAAGAGCATAGTTCTGTTTTCCTCAATATCTGTCGGCTGCACAATATGGTGTCCGCTGAGGAGGTGGTTCTCAATGTCTCTCTCCTCCAAGGAGCTGAAGAAACTGCTGCTCCGAAGGCCTCCGTCCTGGAACTCCCTCCGGAAGGCCAGCGAGCGCAGGCCCGGCTGCGAGAAGGACTTGCGCATGGGCCTGCGGCCCGGCTCCTCGGCCGCAGCCCCGGGCAGGCTAAGTCCGCCCCCGGCACCCAGGGGCTCGGGCTTCCGGACCCCAGCAGCGTCCGTGTCCGCCGCTCGCCTGCTGCAGCTGACATGGTTGAACTTCTCAATGCACTCGTCGATGAGGGCCGGCGGTGCCTTCTTGTGGGCCACCGTCACGCGACCACAGAAGAGCACCTCGAACTTCTTGGCGAACGTGTCGTCAAACTCGGATGGGCAGTGCAGCTCCTCCTGACGTGCGATCTTGCCGGCCTGGCGGATGGAGCTGATGATCTCAGGCACCTGCAGACAGAGGGAGCAGGGTTACTCAGGAGGGCACATGGGGCACGGGGACTGCACATTACAGCAAGGAGGGCACGGGGAGGCACGTGTGTCCAGCACCCCCGTCTACGCAGAGACGCTGGTGCTGACAAGCTGAGGGGTTGGCCCAAGTCCACACAGCAGCCTGGGAATTAAACCTAGGTTGGACCCACTGCAGACCCAAAGGTCCCTTCTACAGAAGTCTACACACTGCAAGGTCACTAGAGCATCGGCTATATTCTAGATTTTACAGCAGTCTCCCTCCACAGAGAGTGGGATGAAGGTCAGAAACATTTATTTTCTCTTTGTTTTTTGTGCTGACAGCTTAAGAAGCTATTACATAGTCCTATACTTGTATTTACTAATAATCACACAGGGGTTGGTGTTGCAGCAAGATAATGGTGGTTTAATTCACTCCTTGCCAACAGGGATGTTCTCTGAAGGAACACCAGATCATGTTACCAGCTGCCCAGCTTTCAACCCAGCTCCCTGCGAATGTGCCTGGAAAGGCAGTGAAGAAGGACTGAGACCCTGACACCCCGAGGGAGACCCTGCTGAAGTTCCTGGCTCCTGGCTTCAACCTGGCCCAGCCTGGGCTGCTTGGGCCTTATGGAGAATGAATCAGCAGACGGGGTATCTCTTTCCTCTATCTGTCTCTTATCACTCTGCTTTCATATCACCGGAAAAAAAAAAAAAAAGGGCTCCTCCAGCGGACAGCTTTCAGTGTAAAGGCACATTGAGAGGCATACAAAAGGGTCTCACTTCACCTGGTGTGGTCCCTGCTGCTATACCCTCTCCTCACTAACTTCCACCCGCATCCTCAAACGCACAGAGGCACCCACACTGCAGGGACCCAAACTCAGGGCGGCTGCCTGGATGAGAAAACCTCTGCACTCAGCTCAAGATTTGTGGCCAGAGAAAACAATTCAAAAGGAATGGCCCGGCTTCTGTTACGACCTAACACGTAAACCAATTCTCTTTCAATTTCTGTGTAACGAAAATTCAATCTGGAGCCCAATACCCATAAGGTTCCAATGTCCTTTCAACAACATTACAGAGAAGGGAAAAGTATTCCTTCCAATACAGGGCAAAGCTCAATGCACGCAGGAGAGGGAGATGGTTTTCGTTGATTTAGAAAGCTCATGCATAATTCCTGAAGAGCCTCATGGCTTCACATCAGGCACGCCGCAACACTCTCCCTGCATACATACCATAATGTGTCGCTTCAGGGAGATTACCACACAGACACGCAAAATATGTTTCAGGACAATTAAAAAAAAAAAAAAAGACTTAAGCCCTAAGAAGCGGAGATTTCAGCAGATGATAAAGAGCTAAGCACACAGTTCTCGGGTGTGTGCTGAAATATCCCTCCGATGCTGCCAGTTACGCCTCCCAGGGAGGCCCACAGGCCTCACGGTGCAGGCAGACAGGGCAGGACGAGCAAGGCCCGGCCACTCCGCTGGGATCCACACTTCCTGGGACTCACTGAAGGGCCCTGGCATAGGCAGCCAGCACGCTGCTGGGGGACGTGCGGAAGGGGGGACCTATCACATTTTCTAGGTGAAAGTCATTTCTGCGTGACAAAGAATAATGCCATTTTTCAAGCTCATAGAACTCATTTATGTAAGTAAATTGACTGTGTGAGATTATCAGGAGCATGCCAACAATCCCAATTACGGACCCTAGCAATTTGTGTTCTGTCCTTTTTTTTTTTCCTTTTTTAGATTCATTTACTTTGTATTACAAAGTCAGATGTACAGAGAGGAGGAGAAACAGAGTAAAATCTTCCAGCCAACCATTCACTCCCCAAGTGACCGCAACTGGGAACCAGGAACCTCTTCTGGGTCTCCCACATGGATGCAGGTTTCCTAAAGCTTTGGGCCATCCTCAACTGCTTTCCCAGTCCACAAGCAGGGAGCTGGATGGGAAGTGGAGCTGCCGGGATTAAACTGGAGCATTCAAGGCAAGGACTTTAGCCGCTAGGCCACAGCGCCGGGCCCGTTCTGTCCTTTTTTAAGGCTCAGCGGAAAACAGTAGGCACACAAGCAAGGCACCCAACAGAGCACCGGGTTGTTCCCTCGCTTCACAGGCCGGAAGGCAAGCAGCACGTCACACCTGGCTTGGGGCTGAAGCAACATGGCCTTCCCAGCCATCAGCTCCCCTACGCTTTAACCAGACTCTCAGAAGACATGCTTCAGTTGCAGGACAAAGCTGCACCCCTGCTCTGGCCATTCAGAAACAGCTAAGTGCTAGGAGCATCCTGCCCTATGGGAGCACAAAGAGGCTGCAAGTATAATGCAGGTATAAAGAGGGGATGATAAATGGAGACTTAGAAAACACTCAAGTCCTGATCAAATAATGTAATTTCAAAACATGCCATGACAAATGGCACCTTACCAAATATAGTCTCAATGACAAATTGTGAATAATTAAAAATCAAATGTCCCTGGGGGGAGGGGAGCAGTACCCTAGCATAACACATTAATCTTCAGCCTGTGGTGCCAGCATCCCATATGGGCACCAGTTCGAGTCCTGGTTGCTCCACTTCTGATCCAGCTCCCTACTTACAGCCTAGCAAAGCACCTATGTGGGAGACCCAGAAGCTCCAGGTTTCCGGCTTTGGACTGGCTCAGCCTCTAGCCATTGTGACCATTTGGGGAGGGAATTAGCAAATGGAAGTGTACGCTTTCTCTCTAGCTCTTGCTCTAACTCTACTTTCAAATAATAATAATCTTTAAAAAAAAACTAGCATCATTTAAATATCACATTATTCCAGAACAGCAAGAGACTAAATTTCAAAATGAGCTCTACAGGTGGGTGTGTCTATAGATTGTTCCCTTTACCAGAACAGACCTGAGTCACCGTTTTTCAAGAAACAATGACATAACGGCCACTTGGGATGAAATCCTTGATCTCTGTTCTTGCATTTCCTTCATTTATTTCTAGGTATTTCTCGGCGCCAGAGCCAGGGATCCAGGAGAGAATCGCAGCCCAGCCCGGGGAGGGTGTGCTGGGAACCTGAGCTCAGAACCAAGCCCACAGGATGGAGAGATGGGCTGAATTCAAGATTCTCGAGACAACATCCCACAGGGCTGGAGACAGGAACTCAGGACACAGAGGAGGAGGCACGGGCATCGGGGGAAGAGTTCTTCTACAGCAGTAGAGAAAGGCCGGGAGCACCTGCAAGTGACAAGACACCTGTGGGCTGCTGGCCCCATGTGCTGGGGTCCAAGGCAGGACGGCCAGCTGGGGACTTCAAAGGCTCTTAAGACTAGGCAGGCAACTGCAGGCTCAGGAACAGTGAACACATGCGGGCCTCTGTCATCCAAGGAAGCCATGGACAGCCTCTGGGGCAGCCCAGGCAGACGAGCAGAGAAGCAGGAGGGCAGAGACGCCAAGGCAGGGGGCAGTGCATCGTCAAGAAATAGAGGGCGAGTGACTGAGGACAACTTTAGGGCTAAGACAGGTTGCCTGGAGTTGGCAGCTCACAAGGGTACCTGTAAGCAAGTGAAGGGAGAGCTCGGTAAGACACCACTGGGATGCCTGAGTCCATTTTGGAGGGTCTGGTTCCAGTGCCTGCTACTCCACTTCCAGTCCAATTTCCTGCTAATGCACACCTGGAAGGCAGCAGGTGACAGCTGCTCCTGTACCCCCACAGGACAGCCGCACACTGAGTTCTGGCTTCAGAGAATAAAGTGAACTAACTAGCACGTGGGAAGGTCTCTCTCCATCTCTCCTGTCCCGTTCTACTTGCCTTTCAAATACAACGAAAATACATAAAAACTAAAAGACAAAGGTGGGCTGCTAACACTAAGACCTCACCCCAAATACAAATGTCTGAAAATGTCTTTAGCAAAAACTTCAATCTACAAGAAGTCAAATGTCAAACTGTAATATTTATTGCAAATATACGGCCCCTTTTCAGCAGACCCTCGCACAGAGAGCCCTGGAGTTCATTCCCGCTGATACTATCTGGGTCCTTGTAACCAGAGTCCTTTTTTTAGTTTGGTCCAAGCACCAACATCTGCGTCATTTCTGTTTGCAGATAAGCTGATAAAGCAAATCACTGCCGAGACAAGAATCTAAAAGCCATTTTACTGGAATGAAGTCAACAAGGGTTTAGAGTTCGGTTTAATTCCTTTTATGTTGCAACTCAAAACAAGAGTGCTAGGTCCTTAAGATCAATCACCAATAATTAATAAGGAAGTGGGCCTTGTTTAGGTAAGTTAAAAAGCTGACTGACTTCCTCGTCTGTCAGCCTCTTTGAGTTCACGCTGAAGCTCAGCTTTGAAAGTAGATCCGCAGTTTGTTCACAAACAGAAGGAACTCCTTTGGACTCACCTACCAGCACCACGCGGTCCAGGCGGATGTCCCCGGGCCAACGTCAAGGCGAGAAGGAGCAAGAGAACGATACTCCTAGAAATCAGAAATATTCACTTCTCTACCCAAAGTCCTGAAACATGTGGGTTAGCTTTCTTTGTGAGGATTTGGGGGCTTTAAAGGATTAAGCACACTGCAAGTACAATTTATCCAGAGGGATTTAGGAGAACTCCCTTGGCAATGTGTGCAGGGCGAGTTGCTTCACTCCACAGCTATGCTCTGGCTTCCCGGCTGACAAGTCAAACAAGTGTCACCCCAGGCTAGAGGAGCCTGCTGTCTTTAAAACTCTCGCTATGTTTCCTGCTATGTAATATATTAAAACATCCTTACCCATCTAAACTCAGGGGCATCCCATAGGGAAGATGGCCCCCATCCTAGCCCAGTTTTCAGTTGTCTCTGCACAACTCTCAAGGGCATGCTGGTCCAGAAGCCTGGATTTATCATATGCCTGTGTAACATCTGGAAGTAAGGCAGGCATCACGGGAACCTGTCCTCCATGTGCCATGCACAACACTATCCCTCCCGGATCACTTGGGACACTGAGGCCCCTGGCCAAAGCTGGACAGAGCAAAAGCGGCCACTTGGCACAGCCCCCACCACAC